CTTGATGGGATTAGATTGTTTAAAAAAAAAGAATTACCGAGAGACGCCATTTTAAATGATACTTTACAAATACGACTTTTTAATTTAGAGTTCTTAATTCAAAATTAAAAAGCTTTAAGTGACAAGGCACTGTTTAGTTAACAGGCTCCAACCGGACTTCGAAATGAAATCTTTAAATTGAGTTTTTTAGCTGAGAAATGTACAAAATTAGTGTATTTTTAATAAAATATGATGTATACATTAACTTTCCTTATTGTATACATGTTTCTTGCAGCGTCTTTATGATTCGGTATACCAAAGAATAGTCGACTAGAATAGACTAATGGAGGAACTAGGAGTAACATAACCCTAAGAACCATTTACGAGGGGTGATCAATAAGTAATGATAATCAATATGAAACAGAACTATTAGATTAAAAAAAGTATTTTATTTTTCAACATAGTCTCCTTGCAAGTTAATACATTTAGTGTATCTTTTTTCTAAGCCCATGATTCCCTTAGAAAAAAATTCTTTGTCTTGACCCTCCCAAAATGCCTCTACTGCGGCCATCACTTCACTATTGTCCTCAAATTTGTTGCCCCGGAGGTGTTCTTTGAGCCGAGGAAAGAGGTAGAAGTCACTGGGAGCTAGATCTGGCGAATAGGGAGGGTGTTCGAGCAGTTCGAACCCCGTTTCTTCAATGGCAGCCATCGCAACTGCGGCTTTGTGAGCCGGGGCGTTGTCTTGGTGAAACAGCACTCCAGTTTACCGCGTCTTTTTGACTTAATAGCTTCTCGCAATCTTCTTATTTGGCCTGCGTAGTAAGAGCCTGTTATAGTGGCCCCCTTTTCCAAATATTCCACCATAATAATTCCTTCTGCATCCCAGAAAACAGACGCCATAACCTTTCCCGCTGAACTTGACACTTTGAATTTCTTCGGCGTTGGTGAGGAAGCTCGTTTCCGAGTCATTGATTGTTGTTTGGTTTCGGAATCAAAGTGGTGGATCCAGGTCTCGTCCATGGTCACAAAACGCGACAAAAAAAATTCTTTATCGGCCTGGAACTTTTGAAGATTCACCCTCGAAATGTCGACTCGTTTCTTTTTTTGCTCGTCGGTTAACATTCTCGGTACCCAACGCGCAGAGACCTTTTTCATATGCATTTTGTTGACAATGATTTTTTAAACGCTGCCATAGGAGATCCCTGTGACCTCAGCTACATGCCTTACGGTCACCCTTCGATCGGCCAACACGATATCTTCCACTTTTTTGACGTTTTCTCCAGTAAGGGACGTGGAAGGGCGTCCCTCGCGATGTTCATCTTCAGTGGAGGTTCTGCCCAGCTTAAATTCCTTTGCCCAGCGTGCGACTGTGGAATATGGAGGAGCAGACTCCCCCAATGTTTCCTCTAAGTCGCTGTGTATGTCTTTGGTAGACATTTTTTTCAGGCAGAGGTACTTGATGACAGCTCTTATTTCATTTTTCTCCATTTTGATGTTTTCTCTTCGACAGTTCGTATTCAAATGAATGGATCTCCCGGTAATGGTGTCCTATTTATACATTTTTTTGAAGCTGAAGTAGTGGATATATAAGCAAGCAGAAAAAAAATAATTTGGGTTTTGTGCGTTCTAGAAATACTCGATTATCATTACTTATTGATCACCCCTCGTATATCAGCAATAGTAAACATTATGAATAATATCTATTTGTTTACTGTGTATATATTTTGTCCGTGAAGTGATTAAGATTAAGAATACGGAATGTCACTACCCCAATTCATCCCGTGGGTGTCGTAAGAGCCGACTAAGGGCGCAAAACAACGCATGGCACCCGCACTGCAAAAAGAAGGAAAAAACTTGACACAAACCCTATACCAACCCGTCTGGCCAGCGTGGTATAGTAGGCAAAAACCTCCTTTCTAAGGAGAGGCCTATGTCCAGCAGTGGACTATTAAAGGCTGTTAATGTGATGATGTGATGTGATGATGTAAATATTTTATTGTGATAGTAGAGACAGTTTGAAATCAATCTATTCGAGAAAGAACAACGGAAAGTTAGAACGCATAAACTCAGAACATTGTTTGTGCAATCATTATATCACCAGGTTTTAGTACAATTTTGTATGTTTTACACAACTTATGATGTCATTTACAATGCAAGGTTGTTTCTACGTTAAGCCTTTTTTAAATAATCTAATCATCTGGATTACCTATCACGTTTATGCTTGTTATATCTACCTCCGTTATTACAACAGAACCTAGGCTTAACTTGAAATCTTAAATAAAAACCTTTTTTTTACGCAATTTATAAAAGAAAATTGCTCTTTTTTGTTTCCATAGAATAACATTTAACAGTAATTGAGCAAGACGTTACTAAATGCCGATTTCGGCCATGTTTGATCGCTGTAAAATTAATAAGTAATATTAAACATAAATTATAGTAACTGTTGAATAATATATTTTCATATGCACTTGTTTTTATTCCAGTTCTTTTATTTGTTTATGGTATAAGGAGTAGATATTTGGTTGGGGCTCTTTTTTTTGTTGACGGGGTGGAACCCTTCGGATCTCCTGCTCCTCGGGGACTATGAGCCAGGAGTATGTGGTGATTCCACTAAAAACCACCCCGACGGCCGGCCTCAGGTGTCCTACTCCGGGGGACCATGTTATTTCAGGTCCTCCCCGAATAGGGGCTCTAGTAACCTCAGTCACTCGGTTAAACGCAATGAAAAAAAGTATCGGTTTTTTGTAAAGTTCCATATTTAGATGATAATTACAACCGTAAGTGATGAGTACCTGCACGGAAGGCGTAATGGTTTAGGCGGTCACCTCGTCGCTTCCTACTGCGCTGTGAGTTTGATCCCTACATGGGACAACACTGTGTGCTCCACAAATTGTTGTTCTGAGTCTGGGTGTTCTTTGTGTCCGTTTCATGTATGTTTGTAAAGTCTCCCGTGGCATAGGATATATTGTTAGGGCAGGAGTTTTATTAAGAAAAAAACTGATAATCATAATCATACATATAAACAAATTTTAGCGCCAAATTGTTTTTAATAGACTTGCGTTTTAAATATATAATTAGTTTACCACAAGATTCAAGATAAATACAGTTAATAACATGCAAATGTACAACCTTTTTCTTCGTAAGGAGGCTTTTACGAGGTATCGGTATATAAGCATCTTCTGCCTTTTGACGTTTCTTTTTAGCTTTAGCTAGTTCAGACTGCTTGTGCTGTAACTCTGGTGGAGAATCGGTATATTTCCTAGTGTGCTTTTCCATTCTACAGTCCGTGGCGTTAATCCAAACAATAAACTGCTATTATAAAACTAGCTGACCCGGCAAACGTTGTATTGCCATATACATTATATCAAATTTTTTGTCAAAATAAAATAGGGGTATGAAAAATTGATGTTAGCCGATTCTCAGACTCGACAAATCGGTCGAGCCGTTTCGGAGGAGTTCAACCACGCAAACCGTGACACGAGAATTTTATATATTAGATCACGTTACACAAACACGTTACTTTACTGCAATGCTGTGGTGTTATATTAACAATAACCTGACTCAAGAATTGTTCAATGAAACGAAATGCAAAGAGAGAGTTCCCTCACATTACACTTATATCTGTATTAAGATTTAACTGTACCTGTAATGAGAAGGAAAACTTGACAAAAACCCTATACCAACCCGTCTGGTCAGCATGGTATAGTAGGCCAAAACCTGAGAGAGGCCAATGTCCAGCAGGGGACTATTAAACGGGGACGGGTCGTCTACTCGTCTGTAGATGGGCCGAGGTATGTCGGGGCACCAGGGACTTCCTTTCTAGGGTATACCTGGTTCCCCGGCTATTAGTACCCAAGACGGCGTGCGGTTTTAGTCGGTTCGAGTCCGACATGCTACCGATAGGTCATCACCGAGGGGATCACCGCACGGAAAAAAAAAAAAGGGGGACTATTAAAGGCTGTTATTTCAGACGCAGATTGGCACACCGTGTGGTTTTAGTCGGACCGATTCTGATACAGAACAGTAAACTGTGCTGTGAATTCTGATACAAAACCGCAAAACGTAGTGGGATGACGGCTTGAGGGAGTTTCTACACGTGAAAAAACTGCAATTGGATAGGCGTAAAGACCAATATTTAATACAGTATTAGTATCTTGGTGTACAGAAAGTCAAGTTAAAAACCTCTAGAAAAATGACCACACAGACTCAAAACGTTTATGACGCTTAGAAGATTTAGCAATCGAACTTAAATATTAGGCAATTAAATAAATATTTATTAACTCCTAAACTTTTGGTTAAATATTCTATAAACTTTCTCAAACCTCAACAATTGAGCTATTTAAAGCAAAAGAAATTATGTAAATGGGACAAGTAATTTCGGAGATCAACGCGTTCAGCCAAAAAAACTATACAGCCCCAATTTTTTTGTTTACACATGGATATTAATGAACTAAATTTGCTTTTAATTTAACTTATGCTGGTAAAGGAACTATCTCAAAACATTTGTTAACGCTAAAGTTTCATTTATACTATATTAAAGGGAGTAGCAATGAGGATCACCATTTACCACAGACCGTTTTCTAAACAATCAATTGAACACCAGTTTTGCTCTATAGTCTATTAGGATACATCACATACTCGTATTTGTTTTATTTTATACAAAAGCCAGGAGATTTAGAGATGCTATCATAAACCCTGTCGAATTCTGTTTTATGTTATAGATAACTATAAATAGAATGTCGGTGTGTTTAATCTTATTTTTATTCTTTTCTGCGGAATATACTCGTATGCATATAATATATTTATTAAAATATATTCCATAAATTCTAAACAATTTAATAAACGAATGCGCAATCGATTAAAATAAGAAATAGAAATTAAATTATTTTAAATCATTTTCGTATCCAAACAGTAAATCTTAATTACTTCCAAATCTCAAATTTAAAAAGGCACAAATTGTCATTAAACTCATTCCATTTTTGAAATAAAAACAAGTGCATTATCTATGACGCACATACCTGTCTCAAAAACGGTGAACCGCTCTTTTTCTTCGGTAATTCATCCATATTACGTATAAATTAACGCACACATAAATATCTCATTTTATCACAACATGTTAGCACTTGGACACTGTTGGCACTTGGAGTGTGTCTGCAGGTATTACTATTATCTGTGGCTCGGCTGCACTTATCCGTCTATCACTAGTAATATAATGATATCTGAACAACGAAATAATAGATTAGATTATTAGGCTAGGAACAAATCTGGCAAAATTTCGCAAGCAGATTTCCACTCTGATGTTTTTCAACTTTTTCCATATCTATCTATAATACCTTACATAATTGTAAGTAATTTATAATTATTTAAATACTACCCTCATCTATAAAATAAAAAAGTATTGTGAAAAATGTTTTTTTTTAAATAAAATCACATCAAATTAAAAATGCCGTTTATTTTTTTGTCCTTTCTGATTATGTAATGTTGTTGTAAGTAACTGGTGATATAAAATAATAACCTTGACTTTCTTCTATGATGTCCTGTCTTCATGCAGAAGGTTTACTGGAAGAAAAGTCAACAATAAATTAAACTCGTCTTTGTAGGCATGAATTTTTCTTTCCAGTGTATGTTGTTGCAGAATACGGATTGTCACCAGCCCTACTCATTCCGTGGGTGTCGTAAGAGCCGACTAAGGAATCAAACTACGCAGTACAACAGCACTGCAAAGAGAAGGAAAACTTGAAGCAAACCCTATACCAACCAGTCTGGCCAGCGTCGTATAGTAGGCCAAAACCTCCTTTCTACGGAGAGGCCTATGTCCAGCAGTGAACTGTTAAATGCTGTTGATAATTGATGATCTATGTTTTTGAGTGTGTCATTGTGTATTGTCATGAGACGGCTAAATGGAATACCATCTATACAAATTACTTGTCCTGAGTGATTCATCAAACCGCTGGATCTACAAACTTTGGCAGCTGATGCTTCTCATGATGTCAGCATCCACTAATAAAAGTTTTTTTTTTGAAAATTTCCACTCATTATCATCATCATCATCAACAGCCTTTAATAGTCCACTGCTGGACATAGGCCTCTCCTTAGAAAGGAGGTTTTGGCCTACTATACCACGCTGGCCAGACGGGTTGGTATAGGGTTTGTGTCAAGTTTTCCTTCTCTCTGCAGTGTTGTTGTTCTGAGTAGTTTTCTCCCCTTAGTCGACTCTTACGACACCCACGGGATGAAGCCTTTAATAGTCCACTCCTGGACATAGGCCTCTCCTTAGAAAGGAGGTTTTGGCCTACTATACCACATGGCTAGTTGCTTCTTCAAATTTAAAGAAATCTGCTGCTGAGGTACTTACCATAGATTCAAACGCAATTCAAAGACATGTGTAACTATTTTTAAATTAAATCGTGAACTAAAATGTTGCCAAATAAATGCGTCACGATGGCAACATTCCAATACACGGAATTGCAAACAATGTTCTGTTGGCAGTTAGTCGCACTATTAGCACTTAATAACCATGGGAGAGTCATGGCTTCGTCACAAATGGGCAAGCTCTAGCGGAGTAATACCACGACCGCACAGAAAACCGGTGTAAAACAATTCCTTCGTAGCTTCTCATCGGGAAGGTGAAGTTACCAAAGACCCCACAATACACCCCCTCCACCCCCTTTGAACCTTAAGTGTCAATGGGCGGTGGTAGTCACGGAGGATCGCTGGGTTTACCCCCAAAATACCAAAAAGAATATGCAGAAACAAAACTGTGTAGCGGCCCTTACATTTCAATGTTCTAGTATGATTAATACCCTAATAAACAATCGACACGTTTCTTGCTTAACTACTCTTTTAATATTCTTGACGTGATATTAACAACTTTTTTTTAATATATTTCACGTGTCCAATCACGTCGAACAGGATCGATCACGGCTATCTGTGCCACGAGAGGGATGCAATAAAATCACACTCTCACCTGTGGTAAATCATGTGATTTATATATCATAGTTGGTATAGGGTTTGTGTCAAGTTTTCCTTCTCTCCGCAGTGCTGTTGTCCTGCGTATTTCGCTCCCTTAGTCGCCTCTTACGACACCCACGGGGTGAATAGGGGTGGTGACACTCTGTATTCTTAATCCGTCACCACACGGATCTGCCCAGCGTGGTATAGTAGGCCAAAACCTCTGTTGTCCTGCTAAATCGGTTCAGTGGTCAAAGCGTGAAGAGGTAATAGACAGACAGACAGATAGACAGACAGAGACACTTTCGCATTTGGTATGGATGAATGAAAGTGGCTTGCAGTCTTTAGAAGATTGAGTTTTACTGGTAATTACACCGTCTTTCTGTGATTGGCAACGCCTATAGTATTTGTAACAGCTATAGACACGAACTTTGTGATGGGAATGTTTTACAAGGCGTTGAGAGTTAATTTTACAGCCAATTAGCGATTTAAACTACATAATGTATACCTATATGTCTGTGTGGTAACGGATATGAAATGGGTAAGAATAAGAAAAGGCAGCCCTATTCTTTCCATGGGTGTCGTAAGAGGACTGACTAAGGGAGAAAACTACGCAGGACAACTGCACTGCAAAGAGAAGGGAAGGTTGAAACAAACCAAATACTAACCCGTCTGGCCAGCGTGGTATAGTAGGCCAAAACATCCTTTCTGAGGAGAGGCCTATGTCGAGCAGTGTACTATTAAAGGCTGTTGTTGATGATGATGATGATACCTAAATGTATATACCAAAGTGTTTTTTAAAACATTAGCTTCGATACATCATAAGTATTATTTAAATATCGGCCGGACCAGGTATCATCGAATTTAAAGGCGATTAAAGATTAATCTGAGTACGTGTAAACTTAATTAAACAAAGAATGTTCGACATTATTATTAAAATAATAAACTAACAAAAAATATATATTTGCTTATGTATCTCATCACATCGAATCAATCAATCATTTATTTCAATCAATAACAAATAAAGTTTAAACATTTTTGTCAGTTATAAGAAGTTTAAGCGGTCGCCACGCCGCTTACTACTACGCTGATTGTTGTGGGTCCGATCCCCACATGGGACGACACTTTGTGTGAACCACAAATTCTTGTTTTGAGTCTGAGTGTTCTTTGTGTCCGTTTCATGTATGTTTGTGATGTCCCCCGCGACACATAATGAATTTCTAATGCAGGAGTTATATTAAAAAGAAGATAAGTATGAGCCAGTCTTAATAAGACAGTCGTGAAACTGTTTGCCTGTTTAAATACGTAGATCGTATGGAAAAGAATAGGTAGGCATCTAGTCCAGTCATCTAAATTATTGCTACTCTCAAATTGTAATCATATGATGAAATGTTTGTTTTTAGTCACTGTAATGTCACCTGTGATTGTGATTTGGTCATAGACAATGATAAATATCATCAAAATCAATCAAATTTTTTTTTTATCAAAGATTACGACCATCTTTTTTTATTTACACCTTTCGCGTAATATTAATAAGTAGCAGTGGTTCTGTAAATTAGTCACAGGTGACATAATCTATACAAATAAATAAAAGTGAAGTGTCTGTTTGTAATGTCAAAATAATAGGTTTTTTTTCATGCTCACACGGTTATTTGTACGATACCTGTGCCTAAAAACCAGTTTAATGTTTTTTGTCTGTTTGTTCCGAGTAATCTTCTAAACGGCTGGACTGATTTCGATAATATTTTACTACCAGGTAGCTGTCTTAACATTTTGCCGGTCCGTGCATCGAAGCTACTATGATATATCATCATCATCATCATCAACAGCCTTTAACAGTCCACTGCTGGACATAGGCCTCTCCTTAGAAAGGAGGTTTTGGCCTACTATACCACGCTGGGCAGATCCGTGTGGTGACGGATTAAGAATACAGAGTGTCACCACCCCTATTCACCCCGTGGGTGTCGTAAGAGGCGGCTAAGGGAGCGAAATACGCAGGACAACAGCACTGCAGAGAGAAGGAAAACTTGACACAAACCCTATACCAACCCGTCTGACCTCATTTCTAAGGAGAGGCCTATGACCAGCAGTGGACTAGTAAAGGCTGTTGATATGATGTGACGTGATGTGAACTTTTGGGAAAAGTTAAAGTTTGTTTGTCCTCCAATAACAAAAATAAACGAATAACTAAAAATGTGTAACAATATTAGTTACAAAGATATACGAGTATGTATATTGTGATAAAAGAATCGAATTTAAATATATCGCTAACTAGATATCGGCTTATTGTGTAATTGCTTTGATACTCAATAATTTACAGTCTTTAGATATTAGATAAACACGTGTTTTTTAATTAAAAGTGATTGTCGAACCAAACTACCAACCCGTCTGGCCAGCGTGGTATAGTTGGCTAAAAGCTCCTTTCTAAGGAGAGACCTTTTTTTTTACGTGTAGAAACCCCCTCGGGCCGTCACCCCACCGGGGTTTGCTGCGGGGTTGTGTGTCGGAATCGGACCGACTGTGTGCCAGTGTGTGTACCATACGGTGTGCCACTCTGCGCCTGTAATAGAAGGGATCCGGGCACTGCTGTTATTAAGACATCCGGACCCCTCCCAGTGCCTGTCCGGAACGGCGCGAGCACCACCTTCTCATTCTCAATTAGGCGACGTCCATCACACGCGGACGTAGCCTCTACGCGGCTGGCAGTTATGGCGGGTGGAGGGGAAAACCCGTGCCAGCAGTGGACTACTAAAGGCTGTTGATTGTGATGATAATTTTCAATGTAAGGATTACTCAAGTAGTTTTTCATGTTTTCTTTAATAACATTACTGTTTATTAAGGATATGTTCGGACACAGAAGAGATCACGGTGGATCTCTCTCTAGCTCTCTAGCTCAGCTCTAATCCTACAGCGCGACAGTTTGTGTACGTAAGTAAGTATGTGTACCGTACTAATAGGCATTGCTTTTGTGTTAGTGTAAATTACGGATGGAAATAAATCACAATCACATGTGATAAATCATATCATCACACCTGATTTACAGAACCACTGCTACTTAATTATTATTATTACGCTACCGCAAGACTCGCGAAAGGTCTAAATCTTAAACAAAAGGTCGACTTTGATTAAAAGAATTTTGATTGTTTCTAATGTCATTTATCTTTGTCTATGACGAAATCACAATCACATGTGAAACCGCTGTGATTAAAGCCAATCATATCATCGATTGAATGTGATTCAAAAGTAGCAATAATTGCCATGTCTAGTGTAAATTAGTGTGAGAAATGTGTAGACCTCGGAACACGAACCGTTTAACGTAACAGCCAAATCTCCCTTGTTTGCATGATATGAGGTTTTTTATCTATTTTACGCGACAGTTTTGTTCCTTAGTTCTCATCAATGCAATATGGTACCGCAGTCCTGTATAAAAATTAACCTTTTTAAGGCATACCAGTCAGATTTCGGTTCCTCAGCCTTTGTAACTCTTCCGATGTCAATATATGGTATTGAATGTGGAAGTCTGAAGGCAGTTAGAATGCAAGATTTCTCTTAAGCCTTTTACACAGTAGACCTTGTCGTTTTAATTAAAATAATTCCTTATATTTAAATTAATCTATACTTGTATTAAAAAGCTGAAGGGTGTGTTTGTTTGTTTAAACGCACTAATCTCAGGATAACGTAATCAAATTACATATAAAATTCAAGGTTTTTGGGGTTGCTAATTACGAATTTCTAATTAAAGTTAAAAGATCTAGTTAATAAGTGGCGAATCTAATATGGCGACATGAAATTACGAATAGTTTAGGGATTTTTATGTCTCAGCACTCGGGTTTCCAATACTATACTTTATTTTACTATAAGTAAATTCTTAAAAATGAACAGGGCAGTCCCGGGCAGCTTTTTTTTTAATTATGTATCTAATTCTTAAAGTTACAACCTCCAATAGCTTTATTCATTAAACACGACAGAACATTGTAGCTAATTTTTTTTAGTAAAGTAAAAAAAACGATTTGAAGGACTAGAAAATCTATATAATCACTGCTTTCTTCTAATTTATAGCTTTATAAATGTTATCTTGCATTTCAATTAATATTATACTTACCTTCAGAACTGGATTCCATTCTGCAGAATTGAATTTAGTCGTTTTGTCAAAATTATATGCCTCGTCTATGCAAACGTCTTCTTGCCGATTCCAAACACTACTAAACTACGCGCTAGAGGGTCACGTTTGATCACTGGATTCCAGAAGCAGATATGGCAAAGGCAACCTGAAGAATAGTGGTTTTGGACTCTAGGGACATCTCTTAAGCCAACCCAGCTCTTTTTTTCTATTTTTGGCCAGCTTTTTGGGATTTGGGATTTGAATAATGATATTAATATAAATATATATATATATATATATATTAATATCATTATACATATATATATATATAGGCTAGGCTATAGGCTAGGCCTATATACAAACTACTTTTGTGAAAATAAATAAATAATTTCGAATCATTCACAAAACATTTTATGAAAAGAAATTGATGTAAGCGCCATCTTTTGATAACTAGCTGACATTAAAACTAGATTGAACATTTACAGTGCCTTTATTAAAGTGTGAAATAATCTACACTTCTACAGTGACAGGTCTCTTTATTAAAATGATAGAGGGCATTAAAGACACAGTAGTATAAATAACTATTTAATTCAAGGTAAGACGAGATGACTTCAACCTTTATTTACTTCAGTTATTTGTGGCCATAATAAATCTATGACCATCTAATGCAATATTGCTTGTTGGATTATGTCAAGTTAAGTCAAGAACATAATTATTATAGTCATTTTATAAGTGCATTTCACCGAGTGGTGGAGAGATTTCCGAAAGATGAAGATTGCTTCACATTTAATATACGAATCGAAACAAAAAAACTCTGATGATAAATATTTCAACTTATAAGGAGCTTGGTATACCTTTATGTAGTTAAGGTTAAAAAGAAGTATGTCTTTATAAAGAACGTTGAACGTTACTAAAACTGGCATGACACATCTGAGATACGACCATCTGATTCCAAATTAGGCAGAGCCTGTACTAACTGTAACCAGACTGCTGACAAACAAATAAATTACACGTAGACTTGTAACAAATTAAATAGCTCATAACACAGCTATCTATCCTGGGTGGGAATCAAACCCGTGACCTTAGCAATCAGTATACTAAAATAGGTAGTTGATTGCTTGTTAATTTAATCATGTTTTTTATATATTTCCAGAAATATTTTTCTGACAATTGTTCTTGAAAAAAAAAGTTCTCCTATTAAGACTATTTCCAACTTACTGCTAAAAATTTTAAAGGCGTAATATATTTTAAGAAAAATCTAATCATTTGCTTTCTTTTAAGTCACATCATCATCACATCAACAGCCTTTAATAGTCCACTGCTGGACATAGGCCTCTCCTTAGAAAGGAGGTTTTGGCCTACTATACCACGATGGCCAGACGGGTTGGTATAGGGATTGTATCAAGTTTTCCTTCTTTTTGCAGTGCTGGTGTCCTGCGTTGTTTTGCGCCCTTAGTCGCCTCTTACGACACCCACGGGATGAATTGGGGTAGTGACATTCCGTATTCTTAATCCGTCACTACACGGACATTCTTTTAAGTATTAGGATTAAATCCTGTGCCGCTATATCCCCTATACAAACATACATGAAACGGTAACAAAGAACACACCAAAACTCGGAACAACAATTTGTGAATCACAGTTGTGTCGTCCCATGTGGGGATCGAACCCAGAACACTCAGCGTAGCAGCCTCTTAAACCACTACAGCACTATCCGTGCAGTCAAGTTGTAGTGTATAGTGTATATTTATAAAGTGTAGCACATTATGTAGATATAGTAAGAGTAACGAGTTCATGATGACCCATAACTTTTTTATGTTTACAACTCGCTGAAAAACCAATGATTACTTAACAAATAGTTTACCACTGTTTTGTCAGATTTACTATAACCAAAAATAATATAAATAAAATTGGAGTGTCTGTTTGTAATATTAAAATAACCGCTTTTTACTAAATGCATATGTATGTTTACACGGTACATATGCCAAAATAATATTTTTTACAATTTTTGTCTGCCTGTCTGTATGTTTGTTCCGGGTAATCTCTGGAACGGCTGGACCGATTTCGACAGGACTTTCACTGGCAGATAGCTGATGACATAAGGAGTAACTAAGGCTACTTTTTTTAGACTAGCTTCGCCCCGCGGCGTTGCCCGCGGTTATAACAACAAACGCGGGTAACACCGCGGGTCTCAGCTAGTCGTTGAATAAAAAAGATTTTATTAATACTTACAATATATTTAAGGTTTAAGTAAAGATTAAAAGATTTAGGGTTTCCTGAACATTAGAAAATAATAATAATAAATACAGCCAGATATCGTGGATTCGACTTCCACTCAGGACAAATACTTGTGATGAGCATTATCATTTGTTCTTTGTTTGATTGTAGTTTATCCATGGGTAATAAGAAATATAGAAGTGTGTTTACCAGCAAATAATATACATGTGGAAAGCAACTGTGACGTCCAAAACTGTTTTGATTGAACTCCAAGTCTCTCCAAATATAGATAGCCTTGTTTATAGTTTCATCTGAGTCACTGCATTTATAAATAGCAACTGGCGTCAATGTTTATATTAGGTAATAGATATTTCAAATATTATGAATCATTAACTTTACTACTTATTATTAGGGTGCTTAGTTATAGCAAGATATATATTTAACTTGCATCTTGCTCCCTTTAAGCATAATAAAGAAACCGAATCTCTTCAAGAAAACAAAGTTTATTATTATATCATTTATTGTACCAACGAGACGACATATACTGCAGGCAATAAATTACAACTCAAGTTTACAACATTCTGGAACTAATAAATAAATAAAATCAGTCTTCAAAACATCACAAATTAAATAAATGGGTTTTAGAAATTTACATTTTTTTAAACTGTCTAATCAACTTCTTCTACGGTTGGGCCGTCGTTTCGTTGGTAGCCTCCTCCGGGCATGCCACCCGGCATTCCTCCGGGCATCCCACCAGGCTGTCCGCCAGCACCGCCGCCGTGCATTTTTGTCATGAGCGGTGAGCACGCTCTCTGCAAGTCCTTCAACTTGTGCTCATACTCTTCTTGATCGGCCAATGTGTTGTTATCTAGCCATTTCAGAGCATCCTCGCAGGCAGAACGCGCTGTGCTCTTGTCCTGCTCCGACAGCTTATCACCAGCGTCCTCGACAGCCTGCTTCACACTGAAAATGTACGACTCTAGTTGGTTACGAGCCGCAACTCGCTGCCTCTGTTTCTCGTCCTCTTCTTTGTACCTCTCAGCTTCAGAGAGCATACGGTCGATCTCCGCCTGCGACAAGCGACCCCTGTCGTTCTTAATCACGATGTTCTTGCTGCGACCAGTGCTATTTTCTTTCGCTGACACGTTGAGAATGCCGTTGGCGTCCATATCAAATGTGACATCAATTTTCGGGACACCACGGGGCGCAGGTGGAATGCCTGTTAGATCAAACGTGCCTAGCAGGTTGTTGTCTTTCGTCATAGCACGTTCGCCCTCATAGACTTGAATGGTAACAGCCGGCTGGTTGTCGGAATACGTAGTGAACGTCTGGGACTGCTTGCATGGGATCTTCGAATTACGCTCGATGATTTTGGTCATAACACCGCCTGCCGTTTCGATACCAAGCGAAAGTGGCGCCACATCTACTAGTAAGACATCTTGAATCTTCGAGTCTTGTTCCCCACTTAGGATCGCTGCCTGAACAGCTGCGCCGTAAGCCACCGCCTCATCTGGGTTGATGGATAGATTCAGTTTCTTTCCACAGAAGAAGTTTTGTAGCAAGTTCTGCACCTTAGGGATGCGTGTAGACCCTCCGACGAGAACGACGTCGTGAATTTGACCTTTGTCCATCTTAGCGTCTTTAAGAGCTTTCTCGACAGGTTCCAGGGTGCCACGGAACAGGTCAGAGCACAGTTCTTCAAAGCGTGCTCTAGACACACGCGTGTAGAAGTCTAATCCTTCATAAAGCGCATCGATCTCGATGGTGGCCTCAGTGCTGGAGGACAGGGTACGCTTGGCGCGCTCAGCTGCTGTCCTCAACCGTCTGAGAGAGCGCGCATTGCTTTGTAGATCTTTTTTGTATTTGCGTTTGAACTCATCTGCAAGGTGGTTCACGAGTCTGTTGTCAAAGTCTTCACCTCCGAGGTGTGTGTCTCCAGCGGTGGCCTTAACCTCGAACAGCGAGCCCTCGTCGATAGTAAGGATGGAGACATCGAATGTGCCCCCGCCCAGATCAAAGATAAGGACATTGCGCTCACCCTTAAGGTTCTTGTCGAGACCGTAGGCGAGAGCAGCTGCCGTGGGTTCATTGATAATTCTCAAGACGTTCAAACCTGCAATAGCGCCTGCATCTTTCGTGGCCTGTCGCTGAGAGTCGTTGAAGTATGCTGGTACTGTGATCACTGCATCCCTCACTGATGTTCCTAAGTACGCCTCTGCTGTCTCCTTCATTTTTGTGAGTACCATGCTGCTGATTTCCTCAGGCGCAAATCGTTTAATTTCTCCTTTAAACTCCACCTGGATCTTCGGTTTTCCGCAGTCGCTGATCACCTTGAAGGGCCAGTGTTTCATATCCTGTTGAATCTTGGTGTCGTCGAATTTCCTTCCGATGAGTCGTTTGGCGTCGAAGACTGTGTTGTTGGGGTTCAGAGCGACCTGGTTCTTAGCGGCGTCGCCGATGAGGCGCTCGGTGTCCGTGAACGCCACATAAGATGGCGTTGTGCGATTGCCCTGGTCGTTGGCGATGATTTCCACGTTGCCATGTTGCCAAACTCCGACGCACGAGTAAGTAGTTCCAAGATCAATTCCAATGGCTGGCATTATTTCTTCTTTTTTTCTGCTTTGTGCACTAGTAATGCGAACTCTTTCGAGTAAAACTTCCTTCGGTTCACACCGAACTACGTCTGATTCGTATCGTGTTTCAAATTATTCTGATTTCGCGCCGCGAGCTGCGCGCTTTTATACTGTACCAATAAGATTCGAGAAATTTCTACCAGTTTCTCGATGTCAACCAATCAGCGTCGAGAATCCCACGAAGCTTCGAGAAGGTCAATTTACGACCACCAATCGTAACGCGTCAATGCAGGAAAGAGATAGAATTTAGGGTGGCTACTTCATAAAATTTCCCTATTTTAGGGATAATAATTTAGTGATTAATTTTTAAACAATTCACCATCTTTGTATATTTTTAATTTGTTGATAAAACATAAAATTACAGTGGATGGACAATAAATTGCCTTAATTTATTATTCTTTTTACCTAATTATCTACTATCCTAATTATCCTTCTCTGAGACCTTAGTGGTTTAAAAAGCTTAAAAATTGCTCTAAGCTTAATTGCATGTAATTATTTTTTTTATCAATTGAATATATTCTCACTGAAATGTAATCTCATTGAATGCATCTTTAACAGGGCCGGGTAACCGAATACCTAGTAAAAATCTGTAATCTAGTGGTTAACGATTATGTCTGCTAAGTCAGAGGTCGTGGGTTCGAATCCCACTCCTGACAAATATTGTGTGTAGAACACGATCATTTGTTTTCTATATGGTGTAATAACTTATCTAATATATGCATGTATTAAGAACTAATGTACCTTTACGTAAGTTTGCTAAATAATATAGTCGGCAAAATGTGAACGTTTTATAAGTCTCTGTTTATTCCTTCGGGTTAAAACATGTAAGAGTTTGTTTCCATAGTTAAAATTACGGAATTAAAAATACAAAAACTTAAAGAACACCAGTATTTAAATATAATTTACAATTATTTTGTGTATGATGAATGATAATAATATTATACTGAAGAAAGTCGAATGTCAGAAAATAAAAGGTATAACGTAAATACTGATAATAAAAAACATACGAAAGATATGTTATTGAAGTCATATCATCTAAAAATGACATTTACACTGTATACTAAAAAAAACCTATTATAATCCTCATGAAAAATAAAGATAAACACTTTTTATCTGCACATGTAAGCAAATTTTGACTTTATCGTCTAGCAACACTAGGGAAACCTCCAGAATGTACACGATGTGTCTGCACTGATCTCTGCCTATAGGTGTGAGAGGGATAGAGATATACATTGTCGGTTGTGAACTGTCATTACCATCATAACTTAGTGTGGATGTGTGCGTTTGTTAAGACCTGAAAGTTCTAGATTTTTCTGCGTGTTTATTGATTTTCATACATTTACGTAGGAAAAATAAGGTTTTGTGGAATTTTTTTTGTTTTTTTTGTTGTTGATAATTTGGAAAAGAGTTCTTCTTAGCGATAACACACAATCTTTCCTCAAATAATAGACGTGAAGTTTTTCTTTTTTTGGTTTAACAAATTGTAACAAAAAGTTATCACTGTTATCTACTTAGTTCCCGAGTAAAAATTTGTATATGTTAGGGTAAAAATCTCAAGTAAAACGCGTATTTTTTAAATTGAGAATATGACGTGAATGGAAAACATTAGCATCAAATAGTAGTTTGTTAACTTCACAAAAATAAAGTTATGAAAGACAGCTTTTTTTCTTAATTACGTCGTCATACTAATTTGAGTGAAAAGTGAAATTACAACTAAGTAATATAATAATAATTGTATTAAAAAAATAGGTATTACGTTGTGTGAATAATAGTGTATCCATATTAAATCTAATCAAAAGTTAAATTTGAAAGAACTGTCAAAGGAAATTTTTATCACAAAATTTTTTCACCGTATTTTTTTAAGTATGTAGGAATTTCGTCGTTATACTTATCATAGAACAGTTCACTGTTCTGTCAGCCAGACTGCATGACTAGATTGATGTTGTTCAATGTTAATTAAGATATCATCACATCAACAGCCTAACAGTCCTGCTGGACATAGGCCTCTCCTTAGAAAGGAGGTTTTGGCCTGGATATTTCTAGATCTATAAAATCTTTTAAAATAAATATCTTTTAAGTTACATATTTATTTTGTTTTATTTGTTATAACTAGTTCTTTTAGATGTAAATAACAATATGATTTTCAAAAAAAAAAGGTCTTGAAATTTTGTTGGTTTTGATAGTCTAATTATTTTCAAAACAAGGGTCAAAAAGAAATGAAATGAATTAAAATAAAAATTGCCCCATATTTTAGTGCAGTTTCCTAGAACCAAGATGACCACAAGAAAATAATCAAAAACATATACCTAATTAGCCACAAGTTTTTAATCATATGTTTTTTTTTTGCATTTACAAATTTTTTTAAACTTTATAATGAACTTATCTGTGATGACTATAAATACATTCACGTCAGAGATTGTCGTTAAACATTAGAAAATTTCTCGAAATTTCCAGAAATTGTAGGATGAGCTTTCTATTCGAAAATCGAATGTTACGTCAGGACGAGAGAGAAAGAGATAGAGCTATCATTGAAGTGAGACATAGCACATGCGCAGATGTTGTTGTTTGTTGTATGTAGGGCGCTCCGAAAGGAAGGTCGCCGTTATATCTAGACTAGAATGTTCTACCCTTTTACTAGAAAAAAACACTAACGGTATAACGATCATTATTGCCACATTTCACAAAAGGGCGTACGTTTAGCTTCAACTTATTAATAAACGTTGCTAGTATGAACATATTTTGTTTTTAGAATTTTCACTAGATTTGAATTTCTTGATTGAGTAGACATAATTCGTCGAGTTAACATTTAATTAATTATTTTGACAACAGTAAGGCGTGACATCATGCCTCAGTATTTTATTTTGTACAAAATGTACCGAACTTACAATCTCGACATTTACTAATAAGGCGGCAAATCACTTTTCAATAATAATCTTGTTGTTTTTGCACTTCTTTTATTTAAAAACTTTAAGTATTATAAATTTTACATGCCTCCGTTCGCAAATTGTCGTTATTCAATAAAAACGATCCTACGACGTTTTCTAACGCAAAAAAAAAACTGTATTAAATTATTAGATCATAGACGTGAAATGAAATCATTTATTCTACAATTTCATTATAAAAAAAAACAACAACAACTGTCGTTCTACCTATAAACAATCGTTTCAATTCGCTCGAACTTTGCAAATTTATTAAAAGTGTGAACGAGTGATTAAACTGATTAATCCTAGTCCTACAAACTTAGTGTATCTGATGAAATTTCATGTACTATGTAATGTTTTTGGTAAAATGTGACGTAAACGTAATAAGGAATTACGTCATATTTGACCAGAAAGTACATCAAAACATTGTTGTTGTTCTGTACACAAAATATTGGTATTGTATTTCTGGAATTTCCCAACATTTTCTGAAACTTACATAGATTTATTATTTTCGGTATGAAATATAAACGGTCAATTAATTGAGAAACAATAACTCAATATATTTCAAAGATTAGAATGTATAACGTCAGAGACGCAGCTGATGTTTGCACATGCGTATTACAGAGTTACCAGATTACTAGAAATTTCTTTGGTCTTCTAGATAGGTACATTGATGTTGTTTCTATTGCACAATATTCTACTATGGAGATAATTTGTTTTCGTTGTACAGGATACCTAATAAAAGGAACCCAAACAAATTTAATAATAATGTAAAATCCATTTCCATACTTACTTAAATAAACAACTACTCACTTTCACATCCATATTATAAAGTGTGTTGTGTGGCCATTGAGTTAAAAGTATTATATCAATGTGTGTGGCAGTGAGTTTGTTTGTTTGTTATGCTTTCACGGCCAAACCACTATACAGATTTAAAAAATTCTTTCACCAATGGAAAGCTCCGTTATCAACGAGTAAGATATGCTTTCTTTTACTGCGAAAACTGACATATACTTCCTATGAAGATAATTCATGCAGTAAACTAATAAATACCGTAAATAAGATTCATTTTCATTGTCTAGATTAATAAAAGCTGGATAAGTAAGGAACAATCTAGAAGTGTGGAGAAATATCGAATGCTTTGCATTGCGCCTGTGCAGCAAGGGCGGATGGTCTAAAAGGTCATGACCTCCCATTGGGCTAAGTCTATGTTGATATTTATTTTTTTATAGTTTAATTGATAATTTTAAATGATAATATGATGATTGATCAGTACGATGATAAGTACATACAATAATATTATTTTATTAATATAAATATGTGATGAATGAATATTTTTACGACTTCAAATAGTTGATCAAATCGGAAATTGTCCAGAGTTGTAACTACACAAAATGAATCCTCCGTGTCTTAAAAGCTGTAGCCGCTCCTAATACATTTTCCCCAACACCTTTATTTGTTTTGTTTTTTTTAAATAAATAAGATGGTACTCTATGACCAAAGAAGTAAGGCGTGTACACACACAATTACACATACACACGTGCAACAAAATTACGCCTTGTAAGTCAAAATGTCATCATAATATGTATTTACAAGTAAAAATGCAAAATTGTGTTGTGAAAAAGTGTAAAAATCGAAGTGTGGCAGAAACAATTTAACGATTCTCCAGAGTTGTGATTAGACAAAAATGAGCGTGCCACCATTACTAGCACTTTCTATTGTGTTTTTGTGTGTTATGTCATAAATTCTGACGTTTGATCTGATTTGATCTTTTTTTCTTCAAATCTTCAAAATTAGACTTAGGTATAATATTTTTTTGTTTGATTATGATCATGCTGGCAGGGGCTGGATGCGAGAAGCGGAAAATCGATCTAAGTGGCTTGCAATGGGAAAGGCCTATGTCCTGGGGTGTACTGCGATAGGTTAATGATGATGATGATGATTCAATATACCTGAGTAATATATGAAATCCTATCATCACATATACACCAATGATATATACAAATATTTACAATTTTATGAGAAACTGTTCTAGAAGAGTTCCCT